TTCCCGTCAGCTTCCCTCTTGCTGCCTCAGACCACGCCGTAGGCCGGTGGAAGCTCTCTGGTGCCCAAACGCAAGCCCTAGCCCCAGCCTCCCCGGGAAGGCGGTCCGGCGGAGCCCGACGTGTCCCGCCCCTCTCCCCGGTTGGGTCTGTGCGAGATTTCCTGTCACGGCTCGGGCCAAGGGGAGGGCTCGGCGCTGCCTGAGCCCCGGTGGGGTCCCTGGCACACGCTGTGGAGGTGGTGCCCAAGGAGTCGTCACTACGTCCCAAATGCCCCTTTGGGAGGCCTGGGACTGGGCTCCTTGGCTCCAGGCAGGGCAAGCAGCACAGCCCCAGGGAAATGGAGCTGACAGCCCTGGGACCTCGTCTGTCCACCGGGCTGCCCAGGCACGACCACCGAGGCATTCCCAGTCCATCATTACTGTTTCTTATGACAGAAGATCAACCTCTAAAACTCGGGCATCTGCAAAGGGACAGCAATGCTCTTGCAGGTTTTAACAGGAGGTGAGCATTCATAGTAAATGGCTCAAATACCAGTATGTGCAGTAAGAGATGTTGAGATTTCCTGAGGAATTGCAGACTGCACATGCAGACTTAATTTGGCTCTCTGCAGTGTACACATTGCTTTACATTTTTGATTAGATGGTTACATAGATCCCCTTCACTCTACCACACCCAGACTGTAGAGTACTGAGTGAATGAGGAAGAAATAATTCATTCAAACAGGAATGCAAATGAATAGGGAAAAGGAGGAAATGTTTACCTCTGACGCCTTTGAGGTAGCTAATATTATTCCCGATGCCTTGTGATTTTAAAAGTGTGGTTTTGTTACATCAGTAAGATCAAAGAGGGAAATAACATTATACTATGTGACTTAAACTGGTGTATTTTCTTTAAGAAGAGGAGACAGTTGTGGTAGAAATGTCAAGAGCCTCCAAACTGTCTGGCCATGAACCGAGTGACTTGAATTTGCCCATTTTCTCTGCTCCAGGTATATAGCTCCAAACCTCTAAGTTAGACTCAAGGTTGACATGCGGAAAACAGACTCCACAATCTGTAAGATTGTAAAGTAGGTATGTTTATTCAGCACTGGGCAGCACAGGGGGTAGTCCCACCAAAGTAGTGCGCACCGCAACACGGCAGCTTGCTCCATTTATATGTAGCAAAGTGTTACATATACATGCAGTTTCCCAATACGTCTATACATAGGTGTAACCTGTCCCCGCTTCGTATTAAAATTAGTTTCAAGAGGTCATTTCCATAAGTCCCTCCCAACTGCGCATGCTCAGTGATTTGAGTTGGTGGTCTTCAGGGGTCGTTTACTTCATCCACTCCTCTTCTTCACCTTGTCCTTTTGGTGAACTCCAGCTTCCACCCCCCTTATTCCACTGTCAGAACAACACAGCCGGTACCAACCGGCTCCCCATCCTTGGCTATCCTCATATCGGCTCCCCATCCTCATATCGACCAAGGCCAGACGCTTTGTTCTCCTACAGGCCTTCCAAGGCCTGTAACAAAGATGGGCCATTTGCTACTAATCTCCCCTCTTCCACATTCCCTACAGTGTTAGTTTCTTATCTATAGTTTACTTCATATGATTAGTAAGTTAATCTAAAACACAATGCTAGCAATTTAAGATGGATCTACAGTTGGCTTCACAAAGGTCCTTTTGTTAACCCTTTAGCCTCCCTTCAAGGTTGTTAGAGGGATTCCCTTTGCCCATTACAAATATGGCCAAGGTAAGATTTTACGTAGTCTTTAAAAACTATACCTGTCACAGAGGCTGCAGTGACTTTACACAGGTCACCACTGTGTAATATAGGCAGAATAGCTTTTGTTCTTTGTACTAGCAAAATAATTGCATTTGTTCAAATATACTGTTTGTAGAGTAATATTTTTTAAACATAACTGAAATCAATACACTCAATATGCTTATTAAATCATATATTAATATAAATGCAGTTAACATATGTGAATATGAGCCACATCCTCAGCTAGTATACTGGTACGCCCTCACCCACGCTGAGCTCTTTTTCATTAGGTTTCACTCTTTTGCAGCACAAGAGAATGTGGCCACCAATAGTACAGTTTATTTCAATATTGTCACTACAGCACAGGGTCACATATGCATACTCATAAAGCAGTATGTAGCCAAATACATACAGCTTTATGTGAACTTCTAATATTGTAAAGCCAAATTCCACATCAGATAACCTAGTCTGACTTTAACCAGAAGGCTGCTTGTCGTAAATTAATGGTTAATGCAGGAAATAAATCTGAAAGGGACCCTGTGGACCTTCTAATGTAAGCCTGTGCTGTCACATGCAACTCAAGTAAGTAAATATAGAAGTATTTATCTGTTTCTTAAAGTTTTCTTGCTGGCATTAACTGCACTGAAAAAACAGTCCCAAAATGTCACTCCTTGGAAGGGTAGAAGGCCTAATTATGTATTCATTTTCAAATAATTTATTTTACTAGTTTAATTCTTAGTACATGATTATTTATACTAAGTTGTCCTTGGCCAGTGCTGCCCATGAGTTTAAATAGTTTTTGTACTTTGTGATGTTCATCCAGTATTTGTTGTACCCCCTTTTATTTTAGCCTCTGCTGTTACTAGTCTCCTTTCACAAGACTGGAAGCTCTTACTATTCTCCTGATTATCCCATTGAGTCATTTGTGTATAGGTTAGTTTGAATTCACCCTTGTTAAACATGGATGACTAGTTAGAACACTCACTTCAGGTCTTGTACAGTGTCTCTAATGGAAATACATGGCCCTGATACATCCTAGGATTGTATTTGATTTTTTTTCATGCACATGTCAAGTTAGTAGCCTCAGATAATTTTGTGGTCAGTTAATAACCCAGAAGTCCTTTGTCACTTCTCATTAATGAAGCTGTTGTTAACAGCAAGAGTTCTTCGTTCTCCCGAACTGAACACAGTGAGCTCTGAACTTTGCTTTGATCTACATTCCTGCAGGATTTTCATTCATACACCATTTTAATGAATAAGGCCATTTCCATTAACTGGCTTTACCCCTGTGTTGGACGCGTTCCATAGCTCTGTTCCAGCCCTCAGACTGCCATGGTCCTGAGCACGTTACCCCCTTGCAGAAGTTTAGCTGGCAAAGTCCAAGGTCAGCTCCTTCACTGATAAGAGCAGTTGTGAAAAAAGCTAGCAGCGACGGCCTGCCCCTCCTTTCCCTTCAGAGCTGCTTTTAAGCTGAGGCAGTGGCTCTCTTTGCAGCACCTCACATCTCCATGAGTCCAGCCCTGACCCAGACTCGCTGACTTGGCGTCCTGGCTTGGCCTTGGACCTGCCTCACCACTGCCGCCCTGCCGGGAGACCACTGGTCTGTGTCAGGCCCTGACCCTCGCCACTGTCTCTCAACATAAGTCTTGACCCTGGCTTGCCACTCCGCATCCTGGCTCCTTGTTGGTGAGGTGACTGCTTTCACCTGCCTTGGTCTTGCGCTTAGCTGCACACCGTCCATTGTGGAGCAGCCAACTCTGGCTCCTCCCTGACACCTCCCCTCTCCCAAACACAGAACCCTCCTAATTCCCTCATAATACAATGTACGCTTTTGGGTGGGCAGGCTTGAAGAAAATGGTGGAGCAAATTAGGTCAGGACACCTTGATGAAATAAGAGTAGCAGAGTGGAATAAAAGAGAGAAAAATTACAAACAGTACGTATGTGACATCTCTCTGAATCTCACCTTGGTTGTGTGCAACTTTTTGTTGCTTGTCCCCATGGCATGTTCATTCTAATGGTAAACACTTTGCAAGAAGCACTTTGTCTTTCCTATGTATTTGTATAGGTTCTTGCACTCCAGGGAACAGATGTAATAGAAACTTTTTTTTGTAATTATGGCCTCCAATGCTTTACTATTTCTTAAGTTTATATTTGTAGGACGCTGACAAACCACTAGATGGCAAACAATGTCAGCAAGATAATACACAGGTATTCACACAATCTTCTGTCCTCAGCCTCATCATTGAGGCCCTGGAGTGTAGTCCTGTGGCAATTTATAGAAATCTGGGGTGAAGCTGATATGGTCCTGCTCTCCCTGCCTCTCCCTCCCTTTTGCTCTTCTGGTGTTTACGAGCCAGGTGTGGAGTGGATTTGTAGAGGTAATCTACACAAAAACTCACCTAGGAAAAAAAAAAGAAAAAAAAAAAAAGAAAGGAAAAAGAAGAACGTAAGTGGTTTTCAGCCATTTCAGGTCCATCAACCAGGCTACAAGCCCCCTGTGCAAAACAAGATGTATTCTGGGAGAACAGCAGTCCCAACTTGGATTCTTTTATGCTGCTGAGCAAAGGTACCACATATTTTTTTATTTGGCATAAAATTCCAGGGTTCCTGGAATAAAAACATTGCATATGTATACCAATGATCAGCAGTTAATTTCTATAAGTTACTACAGGTGGTAGTAACTAGAAAACCAGTCTGAGTCCTGGTTTTCTATCTGCTCCACCGTTACCCTCCCTGGGCTGCAGGGGGACAGCCTGTGGTCTCCACCACATGGAGTGCTGGGGAATCTCTGCTCTGGCACCTGGAGCACCTCCTCCCCCTCCTGCTGCACTGACCCTGGTTTTCTGCAGGGCTGTTCCTCTCACATCCTCTCACTCCTGTCTCCTGGCTGCTGTTGCACAGCAGTTTTTTCCCCTTCTTAAATATGTTATCCCAGAGGCACTACCACCGTCAGTGATGGGCTCGGCCTTGGTGTTACGATCCAATTCTGTTTGGACGAGAGGAAGGCCCCCTTGCTTTCTAGCCGACCTCAGCCGAGGCTAGGGGCGGCTAGACCAACCTTTTGCTTCAGGTTCGATCCCTTCGAGCGAGATTAAGACACAAACGAGGTCAGGTGTTGTAAGTCCATCCATTTATTAATTGTTTGGGGGAAAGAGAGAAAGCAGCGACAGGAAAGGAAGGAAGGAAAGATAAATAAAGTGAGAGGTCTGGATAGAAGAGAGCAGAGAGTCACCACCGTGGATCTGCAGCATTCCGGGGATCCGTGCTTCTGGGGTTTTTGGTAGTTGCACACGGAATCTTTGGTGGTCTCTTCACAAGGTTGGTGATCTTCCTCCGGCGTCTTTGATGGTCTTCCATGAGGTCCCCCCGCAGTCTGAGACTGCAGCACAGTCCAGCACATGTGCACACATTTTGCGTGGTTTACTTTTGGCAGGCTCCGTTCGTGCGCTTTCTTGTTGCTGGGCAGGGCCAGGGTTCTGCTTGCATGCTTTAAGTGGCAGCAAACTGCAAGCCTTGGTGGGCAGGCGGCCCCGCCTGGGTGTCCACTGCTTCAGCCAGCCTGCAAGCCACCTTGCCTGCGGCAAGGCTTGATCTTCACACATTGCCAAACAAAGGAGCAAGCTTTGAGACAGTTAGCTATTCAGTCTCCCACACTTGGCCAGCAGTGGGTCTGTCTTGGAGCCAACTGGCATTGGCTCTATTGGACATGGGGGGAGCTTCTGGCAGGTTCTCACAGAAGCCACACCTGTAGCCCCCCTGCTATCAAAGCCTTGCCACGCAAAGCCAATATATCAGCCGATGAAGGATTAATGGATAGGTAAAATGCTCATGGGGTGGCTGGTTTTTGTTTTGGGAATTAAAGTGGTTTGTCTTTCTGTAAAAGGCAGGTAATCTAAGTACCATCAAAGTGCGTGTGTAGCTGCCAAGCAATTCTGCAGCTAAAGGGAGATTTGGGAACTTTGGCACTTTGGTGAGGATCTGGTAACTGCAGTGCAGTGGGGGCAGGAGAGTGGGTTTTCTGCAATTGCTTTGTCTTTGCTGGTTTCACCTGAAATACAGTGGGAAACAGATAGTAATGTTTGGAGTTTTGTCATTCAAAAAGGTGGAGCTCTGGGAATAAGCCAGAGCCTGGTGTGATCCACTCAGAGAGGAAAGCCAAGGAGGTGGGTCGATCTTATGACAGGAAGGTGAATTACTGCCATGAAATTCTGCTAAACTGTAAATAATTCATTGCTTCAAAGCCATGGTTCTGTCATACATAAGACACTGCAAAATCTGTGTGAGAATCTGCATCTCTGAGTAGGGGATTTTAAAGTTAGTTGTCTCAAAGTCTTCATACTCTTTAATTGAAAGATGTGAGTTTCTCCACAGGAAAACTTCCCAGACTCTTCCAAATTTCTGAAATTTGCCTACTTCACATTATGCATAACACTTCATAGCAACAGCTCCTTCCTATGATAAGTTGAAAAAATCTGTGAGTAGTTTAATGTGGAATTTTCGAACCAAAGCAGAATTTGTCATTGCTGAATTAAAGCCAGATTGCCATCGTGCATATTTGCCTCCATCAATAGGGGATCTTAAAGCGTGTTCAAAATACAACTGTACAAGGGCATGAAAGGGAAATCCACTGCAGGCTAGGAAATACGAAACCACCATGCGCGGCTCATGTCTGAAGTCCTTCATCTGCAGGCCATTGGAAGATGGGAAGGTGTTCTGGGGAAGTCGACGCTTGTTCCATTCTCACATTCTTTCCCAGGTGTCGACTTTCACAGCTGCTAGAGACAAAATACTGGGCTTGAGGGGCCTTTGGTCTAACATGAAATGGACTCCTCTTTGGTCTGACTCCTTCCTAATTTTAATGCATATGATAACACCCTTAAGTTGAAGTTGTGGGGTTCTTACTGGAGGACACGAGTTGAGGACTGAAATCCACCACACCTTTCCTAATGAATTTGGGCTGGGGCAATCTTTTTCACTACTACCAGTGTCCCAACTCCTGACTGAGACAGTAATTAGTCTCCAATTAAACAAAAAAGCCACTTTCTGACTGCACAAGATCCGTGTTGACAATGAATTGCAAGCCTGATATTCACTCCAGTTGCCTACTGGTGCCCACTTCTCTGGATAACGCTGTTATGAGTTATCAGCAACACATTTTTACTGTCTTCCCAGGAGCCTTTACAGTTGTTTGGTCGGAACACATGCAACAGAGTGTAAGGAAAATCTCCATTAAGGAAGGATGTTGATTGCTGTAGATGCTGCAAGTCCTGCTGTCCCGTCAGGAGCAAGTGGAGTGAGTGATGTATGAGGTCCTGCACCCTGGTCTTTACTGCCTTTGAAAAATACATCTTCTTGTAGCCAGCTAGGAGGAAATGCATTTACTTTTAGCGGTAGCCTATTGGTACCAGCAGTGTAGGGAGGCAAAAGGTTTCATCAGATTTTTACATCCTGAAGTAGGAAACTGAGAGATTTCTAGAATAAAAACCAGAATGTGGAGAACTGGCAAGAAGCTGAAGTAATAAAATGCATGTATGTCAAAATGTTCTTTGGTCAAAGGCTATAATTTCAAATAAATTTTGTTGCTGTTGTTCATGGTCATTGGAAGTCATAACTGATATGACTGAAAATAAAAATGAGTGCATAAAGCAATACTGGGGCTCAGCTTCTTGAGCTATACATCGGCAGTTCTGCAAGAGGCCAGATTAGATGCCTCCATGTACATGTGGAGAAGGACAAAATTTTGCTGCCACAGATGTTTATGCGTGTGAATGATCATATCTGTTACATCTTAGAAATATAAAAGAGATTGCAAAACCAGCCAGAGGCTTACCAAGTACTTGCACATTTGGGACTCCGTGGGAGTCCAGGTCGTAATAAGCTTATCAGTTATGCTTCTCCTCCGACAGTGTAACTGCAGTTACGAAACAATGATCCTTCTCTCTGACACCCTAGGAGCATGCATATCACATCAGGAATGTGAACGGTGTTTTTCAGAGCTGTTAAATTTTGTAATTTTTAATGTATTGTAACCAAAGCCGCCGTTTCTATCGTTTCAAAATCAGGTGATCAGCTAGGAATTGAAAATCTAAAACCAAGCAAGCAAAAAGTTCTCTTCCCAGGCTTGAAGAGAAACCTGAATATAAGAGCATGGAAAGGAAATAAAGAGAACCCTGAACTATTATTAAGGCCTCATCAGTTGGTTTTTTTTTTTAATGCCAGTCTCATGACTTTCTGGGAACTGATTTATTGAAAGCCTTGGTTTGGCAATTCTGTGCTTGGCTAGCTTGGGCTTGACCCAAGTCCCCTTTTTTCTTGGCAGCACTTAAAACAGTTGAGATGTAGCCTGCGCTCCTTTGTAATCCAAGATTGCTGCGTGCAGTCAAGAACCCTTAAGCACAGAAAATGCACAAAGTGACCCGAAGCTGTGGGGCCCGGCTGGTGGTGCGGGCTGTCGGGCCAGGGTGAGGAGCCAAGGGCCCGCTCTGCTCCCCAGGACTGGCTCCTACGTGGGTTTAGTGCAGCTGACACACTCCGGTGGGCGTAGAAATTCTGTTTTACTTTTAAACTGCACTAGTTTAGCTGGCAATAATCCAGCTGCTGGGAACTCGGTTGCATAGAGAGAACCCGTCTGACATTTCCAGTTCTTCAGCATTTACACAAGCTGCTGCTGCGCAGCGAACAGGCACGGCGTGCAGCCATCTCCCGCAGCAGGCCACGTCCTGCTGGAACAGAGCAGCAGCAGCAGCAGCGCCGCGCATTTTCGTGACCGCTCAGCAATCTCAGCAGTAAGGCAGCAATAAAACAATGCTTCCAGTGTATTGCACTGGCTTTGCCCGTCGGCTTTTGTTTCAAGGCAGAGCGCTTTGCTGGCGTGTATATATATCATATAGTAGGTTTCTCTTGCACTGCTCCGAGGGCTCTTAGCCAAGCTGCTGGCACAAGGTTGGAGTCAGTAACCCATAGCAGTACCACTGTCGTTCCAAACTGCTGAGGTAGCACTCTGCCCTATTACTTTTTTATACACTTCTGTTTTCTGTGTAGAAGCAAGGATAACAGGATCAAGCAGCTCCCAAGTCTTAAAACAGGACAAATTCTTTGTTCTAACCTGGCACAGCCGTGAAGTTAGCAGAGTCCTGCTGCATCACACCAGCAGAGAGCTGGGCTACCCGTCATGATGCAAAGACAAGTAACCGAATATCTGACTCCGGTCTTTATGCTCGATATGATGAAGCATGAGACTTCTTTTAGTAACCTTCTTAAGAGCAAAAGTCTAATAAAGTTCCATTGTAACATCCTGGTCTCACTGACTTACCTGCAGTTGGGATTTCAGGAGTGATGTTTGTTGCACGTGACAGCTTTCATCTGTAAGACCGGTGCCTTACTAAGGTGGAAGAAATTTGAACTATTCAGTTATATAATGGAAAAGCAAATGCTTTTCCAGAAATTACCATTTGTTTATTGAGGGAGGGTTGGCGGTGTGTGGGCTGTTTCCTGGGCCAGTGTTGCTGCAGTCATTGCAGACCTGCTTGTGTCTTTGCCGTTCACTAGCTGGGACATCCAATTAATTAGACTGAACTTGTTTCCTTTTGTATCTACCCATCCTGGGTTAATAGTTGAGAGGGTGTGTATGAAAGACCAAAGTCCCTGGCACTGCAATCATGTGAATAGTTTTATTGAAAAGACTAGTCTCGCTGCATGAAAGACCAAGATGTCATCACACAACAAGGCCTGCAGAAACGCTGACAGGCAGCCAGCCCGTGGGCAGCCTGGCTCTACGCTGAGGCAGCGCGGTACCCAAAACTGAGCTGTGCGTACTGTGACTCGGCCCGTGAGGTGTGCTTGCCGGCTCTCAGATCCCCATGCTCTAGCAGGCGGCTTGACACTGCACAGCTGGGTTCGTGCCTGGCGGAGGGCCTCTGTTCTAGAGGGAGAGTGTGGAGCAGCCCTCAAAGGGCAGCTGAGATACACCCACTCCAACCAAACACCGCACCAGAACTACCCACATCCTTCCCTGCAGTATCAGTGTCTCCAGTGCATCTTCCTCTGCTTCGCAAGAAAAAGAATCTGGGGGAAATCCTGTGTTCTCTTCCCAGATTTTTGCTAGAGCAAATGTCATGTCAAGAAGCTTAATTTAGGGTAAATGATATCTTGTAATCCATCTTTGCTTGATTTGCTGAATTATCTTCCTTGTCCCACAGATTTGTTAGTGCCTACTGTATAGAACAATACCAGTCCAGTGCTTTAGATTTCACTGAATCTGGAAAAAATTAGATCACCAGTTCTGCAAACCAAAATGCGTATGAGCAGTTCTTTGACTATAATGTTCAGGACTATCAGTGAGACTCATAGGTCTTGTGATACTAACTTTACTCTGTATTTTAACTTACTGCAACAGAATGGAGTAAGCCTTTGAGTAATAGATTACGTTAAGTACTACACATATAATTTTATAACTGATTTCTGAATATATTAAGATACAGATTAGCAGGTTGAAGTGTCTTAAACTGATGAAGAAAAATGTTAGCAATTAAAAATCTCTTCCAGGGATTTTGAAAGTGTGATGAGAAGCAAATGACATCTGGTTATGCTAACATCTTGAAGAAGGCCTGAACCTTTTATATAGCATTGCTTTGAAGGCTCTTGTCTTGAGGAAGAAATTTCAGCAGCAGTTCTCATGTGGCAAGGTAAAGAAGTGAACACAGAACATGCCTACATCTCGCTGCAAGCTGACAGTGCAGCTGCTGGTTTTACTCACAATATTGGGATTAAAAGCCCCACTGCAGACTTCAGGTGTATTTTCATTTTGCTTATAAAACCACCTTAACAATACAGCCTCCCTTGCTGTATTTTCCAGGATGTGGTGTTGTTATCATTAAGCTACTAATGAAATAGACAGGTAAGCAGAAATGTTGTCTTCTGCTCTGCTGCCCTTAGCAGTAGTAGTGTGACTACGCTACTATTGAAAAATAAGCAGGTTACAGTAAGAGCTGGATTCTCTTCTTCCATACAGAGCTGTATAGTGGGACTACTGTCATCAGATTTTGTATATGTGGGAGAATGAATATCACAATGAGTCTTTGCAAATCAGTCGACTTTAAAGAATCTTGGGTGGAACCGTGACAGACCCTTCCACAGGGAATGGCAGCACTTTTGAGGACCTTAATAGCTGGCAATCACATTTTAAGTTTAGAAATTTTAATTGCTAAGCAGAGCTATAGACAGGAGTCTAACTCACCATTTTCGTGGTCTGTTGCATTTGTGAACAAGGTTTTCTGAGCCCCAATAGTTGTACAGTAATACCTGAAATGTATCTCAGCATAAATGGATTTCCCAAAAAGCCTAAGTTGCCTAGAAGTGACTTCCCGCAGAAACGAAGCATCTTCTGAGCAGTTGTGTAACATGTATGTCTTACATTCTCCTACAGGGAACTAAAAATTGACCTTTCAGAAAGAGGGAGTTTGGAGCAATTACTTGCTCTTCAGTAGTCTCTTTTAAACTTTGCTTTACAGAATTAAACCTTAGAGATTCCTTCCCCTCTTTTTCCTCAAGGCATGTATAGTTTGATCACTGACATGCTCTCTCTGTGGGCTAAACCTAGTTTTATTTCTAAGGAAATGTTGAGCTCACTGGAGGATATAACTTGCCGTACTGCATTACATTCATTTAGCCCAGTTGTGTATCTCTAAATGTTGTCAAATTCCCAGTGCTGAGAAGATGCAAAACCAAACCAAACTCAAACATATTTTTGACAGAACTGGGGTGATGGAGACTTCATCATAATTACCAACTTGTTTAAACTTTGTGTTTCAAGCTGTTTTTTTTCTTTTAACACCTTTTATATAAATAACAACAATATCCAGAAACACAGTAATTCAGGACAAGAGAATATTTCCCTCCCTCTTAGACTCTTGCTGTGTGTTTTGACTTCAGTAACATCCTGGAGCAGTGAGTTTCACAGCCTATTTTGTTCTTTGATGAAAAGACAATGCTTGGTTTCAAATATGAGTTGTCAGCTACATAGTCTGCCTCCTCTTGTAGTACAAGACTAAGAAAATGAAAGCTCACAAACCACATTCTCTATTCTATTTTTATGTTTGCAAGCCTTTTGCTAGATCTTGACCCAGAATTTCTAGGGAATATTTACTAAAAAATGACCTAAATAATACTGCACTTCCCATTTACAAACAGCTTAACAAAACAGAACTTAGAAAAGAGGGAAGTAAAGGAAGGGAAATGGGACAGCAACTACACTTTCCCTAAAGGACAGTAGTTACAACTTAGAGTTTTCCTCTGGTTTCTCAGTGCAGGTGACAGCTACCTACCTCCTTAGGTAGTACTTTATTCACTGGTACTTAGTGTCAAGTCCAGTGGATTGACCACCTGCCTCAGTTTAGGCTGCTGCATGCCAAAATGTCACCGTGTAACGTGGGTTAGTCACTCCCAGTCACCCGCTGTCCTTTCCTACCGACCATAGGTCTGGCTGTTCCTTTTTGTTAGTCCCTCACTAGTGCTTTTGTGCTTTTTCATAGGAAATCACATATGAAGACAAAAATAATCCTCATTGCCTCAGGAAGATTGTTTTTTACAGAGCTTTCTATTCCCCTTCTAGGAGCTGCTGCATCCCCAGGCTGAAAGGGAGGTTTTAGATTAGGGTGACTGCTAGCCCCGAGGACACTTACGCTGAGTTAGTTTGCCCAAGCTTTTAACGCATTACGGTAATTACATCACTGTTTCAAATTTATACCATGCTTTTTCTCAGTGGCTGACTTGTTAACAGAAATACAACAAAGCATGAACTCCCACCAGAAGGTTTCGAGACTGCCCGTTTTGGTTCAGCTCCTTTTCTATCCACAAGATGCCAACGGAGCACTCACCCCCTCTTGGTTTTCCATTCCTCTGCAGTGCTCAGGAAAGGGCCGTTGGTTTTTGGTTTTCTCCTAAGCCTCGGGCTTGCATATTTGAATATCTTATTTACGTCATTTCTTAGGCAAAAAGTTCTAATTCAGTTAGAGGCTATTTTCTCATGCCCCTTCAGCGTCTCCAAATGTCTCCTAATTCTGTAGTCTTTTAGGCTGCAACTGTCAGAGCTGTACACAGATTTCAGGTGAGGTTGTACGATCTGTACATATATGAATCTTAAGAATTGATCATAGCCACATACTGTACCGTCTACATTGATATCTCTATCTTCTTCTGGAAACAATATTGTTAACATAAAATGCACACGATTAGTTTTCTACCTTCTCTACCTTGTGCAAACTTCATTTGTCATTGTGCTCCCTGTACACCAATACTGATGAAATTCCCCCAGTCTTTAGTATATTGACAATAGAAATGAAGTCTGCAGGGCTCAGCTGAAGCAATGGGGAAAAAAGTTCTCAACTGTACTTACATGATAGGAAATGATGTAAAGAAGCAAGAAAGGGCAGATCTTCAAGCTACCAAACCTCCATTTTCATGAACTTCAGAAACAAAATATTACCAATCCAGAGGTCTTAGCAGGAGGAATGCTTCGTCTCATCTAATTAAACACAAAAGATGAACATCTGAGCTATAGAGATGCATGCAGCACACAGATGTTCAAACTACTCCCAGAATTTGTCAGCTCCGGGATGTAACAACATTTTGAACTTCCATATGGAAAAACCAGTAACCAAACCTGCTGGTTTCCATGTAGGCTGCGAGTAGCATTTAATGCCAAATGTTGAACTTAAAAATGCATTATCTACAGTCTAGTATGAATATTAGTTCAGGATATAGGAAAAAAATGTTCATTGTTTCACAAGATAAATGACTTGGACTGGTGCTTCTTCTGCCTTCATAGTGGATCTCAGTTTTACAACTATTTTCAGCCCAGCTTTTGTCATCAAACTAGGTTCCTCTGCAAGGTTACTTGATAATTTTAAAATCTATTAGCCAACTTCAGACAAAACCAAGAAAGGTAGGGGCTTTGGAAGAAATTAATATCCTACAAATTTCATGAAAACGGCCATCAGGAAAGAAGACGGCAACAACTGAGGTGTCCCCAGCTGGGAAGGATTGACTGTGCCATCTCCTAACTTCTCAGTCGGCAAGGAATCCACGCCAGGCAGAGCTCTCAAGTTTGCCTCAGCCACAGGAAAGTTACAGCTACACCAGGTCAGTCAGTTACAGGGCTCTGTTTCCAGGCAGACACAACTCAGTCAACCTAGTTTCACGAGGTGACTTACCTATTTTGTTATTTCAACTTCAGCAGAATCTGAAATATCAAATCTGTCCTTACTTGCCATCCTTTCAATCTCTCTTCACCACTGAACTTCATGAACGACGTATAATAGGAATTCAGACCTTTAAGGGGACTAAGTCAAACTAATTTCCCATTTCAATTTAATTCTATTTCATTGCTTTGGTACTCTTGTAATATTCTAGTCCAGCTGGTTCTTCAACTGCCTTTGAGGTATCCTTAAGGATAGCCAAAGACTGTGTCTTTTAGTATTTTTTCTGAAGGCAAATAAATACTCTTAAATATTTCAGACCTTCCCCATACACAGTGAAATGGAAAAGGAGCAGCCTGGAAAAATACTCTTGGAGAAGTAGCACACTGAAGTTCTTAGCATCCTAGAATTATCTTGCCTTTCTGCCTTTCCTGCCTTACATTTCTCTTTGCTGAACTTTAATGGAGAGTGATTTGTTCTGACAAGGTTCAATTGCAACATAACTGCTGCAAGAGCACGTGCCCTCTTAAGGCTAAATTACTTCCCAGACTCGAAATTGCATCTTTGTAGGTGTGCTGATGACAGAGCCTTGAGATGAGTCCCGTTCTGCAGATGAAGCGCCTTGGTACATTCCTCTCTGGCTATGCCTGCCAGGTGAAAAAAAAAAAGAATCTGTGGGGGTATCCACTTCAGCAATGGAGCTGTAGCTGGTTTTAATGACACAGGCTTTTGCTAACACCAGCTCAGCCTTTTTGTTCCTAAATTCCTTCAGAAGCCCAGAATGTCTGCAGACTTACAACGTCGTAGTCAGCACTAGCAGATTAACTCTGAAATAAGCCAGTGATTTCAGTGGAGGCAAATAAGAGGGGAATTGTATTCAGTCTCTACTTCTTTACATAATGTTCATGCTGGGGCTTCTTTTTTTGCTATTGCTTTTTTTTCAGCAGAGTTTCATGATTAAGGGCTACACGGGGTTTAGCTGAAAACAACCTTGGCAAAAATTGCCATTGTTTTCTTCTAACTAACTAAAACATTTTCTTATTAAAAGTGGGTTGGGGAGACTGCTGCGCAATAGCCCCTTTAAAGAGGTGATGAGGTGTTTCCTTTGGTTCTGCAGGCATTTTCTGATCTTCTGTGATGCCTACTGGCATGCTCTCAAAAATGTCTCAGATCTGGAAAACACAAAACTAAACAGTCTACAATTTTCACTCTTTTTTTTTTTTTTTTTTCCCCCCTAAATACATATATAAATACTCCAGGAAATTCCCATCTTAAAAAAGGAATCTTGGCCACTCTATTTTCTATTTGGAAAGAGTTGAGGGGGAAGGTGGACTTCTGTTTTGAGGTTTTGACGTGTCCATTTTGGTAGAACAGGGAGATGACACGACACAAAGTCTTGACAATAAATTTTGCCTGAAAAGTTGTTAACACTCCTTCCACAGTCTTGCTTATTTCTGCTTGTTCATAAGGAAGCAAGAAAATGCAGTAAAATTAGAAGGGGTCAAGACCTAAAAATACTTCAGTGACTGATTCCTAGTAAAAAGCTCTACTTTTTAATATGATTTTTTTGATTTACAAAGTCACATGGCTGTATTTTAATATGATTTTGTTGATTCACAAAGTCACATGGCTGTATTTTTAATATGATTTTGTTGATTCACAGAGTTGTATGGCTGTGTCTCAGAACAGTGTATGTGTGCCTTAGGAAAAAAAAAAAGAAACCCTAAAAGCATTTGCTTTGGCTCTAACAGTTGTATACATTTTTCAAGCTTTCAAACACTTGCATCCAATTCCTTGGTAGCCATATTCCTTTTTTTCGCCCACAGAAATAGTTTTATGAAAAAAGCTGTTGTCTGGATCAGTGCCTTTGTCTCTGCCTAGTACCTTACCTCCTATTTTATTTCATTATAAATAAACTTAATATTATTTCACTGGCATGAATACCTCCATGATTATCAATGGCTTTGCTTTCCAATGCTATGGACATGACCCAGCTACAGCCACGTTGTAACTAAAATAAACGCTGTCACTAAAAAAGCCAGTGCTGTCACTGTGGAACAACTTGCGCTTGTCATAATAATTATAACTATGAATGAGATAAAAACGCTAAGTGGCCAGAAGCAGGAACTGCAGCGAAGCATCAGCTGTTAGATGACAACTTTATGGACCTGTGAAGGCATGTTTGGGTGACGTGACACAAAAGGAGTGACACGAGCAGGATACAGGAGATCAGACAGCTTGGCCCAACCTTAGCTGCAAAGCAGCTTAATTTGCTAACTTGTCTCTTGTGCAATTACCAAGTTAAAAAAACAAATCGTAAAATGATAATGGTGGTTGAAATAATAGATGGAACGCAAGGGCTGCGCAATATGTACTTTGTGACCAAAAATGTAAACTACCACAGAGATGCAAATACTGATTCACTTAGGATGAATTGTTAAGATCCGTATTTGCCACTGTTAAAGAAACATGCTCCTCTACAAGGGATTTTATTACTTCTAGTTTTCAGCAGAAAAGGTATTAAAATTTGGCCCCGAGATAGGCTGGCACCACTGTGGTATCTTTGCTGTAGTACCGGAGACAAAATACCTGAGAGAAAACCAAAGACATGTCATTGGAAGAGGTCATCGTGTGCGAGGGACGGTCAGGGGTGAAGCCTTTGGGCTTCGCACTCACCCCAGCCCAAGCCAGTGTCTCCTGGTGGGAGCATCAAAGTTCTCCCTGAGCCTTTTGCCATTGGGAATTCCTTGGACCACAGGACAAAACGTTTGCAAACCTCCATACAGATTTCCAACAGTAAAGGTGACGGCTGGCTAGGCACGTGTCAGCATCAGCAGCTTAGCCTCATCAGCTACGTCGTTAAAACACAAGGCAGAACAGCCCGACACCCAGGCGGCTGCCAGCACAGCAATTCACCGGGAGGTAATCCTGACCCGTTTTTCGGATGCCTTCATCAGGCTTTCAGGTGCTGGTTTACTCCTTCTGTCCCCCTCTTGTCCCTGAAGACGAGGGAGAATCCCCCTTCCACACACTTTTGGCACACTGGGGCTGCCCTCCCTCACCGCAGCACTCATGCGGGGGAGCATCCAGCTGCAGAGCCCTGTACCCAGAGTCCCCCACAGCTGCAGCTCCAGGGGTGCTGCCGGTTGCAGGATCCTGGCGCTGACAGACGCCCGAGCCAGCGTCACACAGCCACGGCGTTTCAGAAAGGAAAAGGACAGACCCTTCCAGAGTAATACCACCTCCTGCCTTTTGAACTCAATCAACACTGAGACTATATATATATATATACACACACACACACATACACACGCATGCAATAAAGGCAACTTGGATTGCTCAGTGTTGCTACTGGAACCCTTATATTTTTATTGAAATCTGGTATTTTAATAATGCATGGAAAATACCTTTTGGAATTAGATACATTTAATTCTAAACGACAGGCAAATTTAACAGACATAAAAACTACTAAATCAGACACTTGTTGTAATTTCACCAAATATTTAAAATATCTGTGAATTGGATTCATCTAATGACCACAAAATTCTTTCAATTCCATCTGTTTCTAGCAAAGACTTTAAAAGGCAACCTAACATACTTGTTGGAAAAAAGAAATGCGATTAATGTCCACTAAGGTAACACATCCTGTAATTGTTATTCAAACACTAATGGAAGAGTAAACAATTTGGTTTTAAACTATACAATTAGCAGTAGTAAAATTACCCTGCAATAATTTTCAGACTACGTACAGCCTGCTTCTGTAAACATATTAATAGAGGAGTGTGTGCGTGTTGAGTCATAGGCATAAATATTCCCAGGCAGAGGGGCCAGCTTCCAGCCTTGCAGACTACGTCCATGTGTAACTTTTCACGTTAGGGGCAGGGTACGGGCAGAACTATCCTAGCCGATGGCATAAATCTTAATTAAATTAGAGGAAAAAGGTGTGCTGCGCACCATTTAACATGCCAAAGAATGGAGAAATTCCTCAAGGTGATTTTTTTGTTTCTTAGTCCTCCCTTCCAAAATGCCCTGTCCAGTAAACGCCCCTTGGATGGTACATTTAGCTTTAATAAAAGCAGATTCTAACACGCAACTGGGTCTTCGCTGACTAATGCTTCACGCCTCTGCAGGTGCACTGAAAAAGAAGAGAAGCATTGGCCCAGAGATCTTTACTTTCCAAAATCTTTTCTCATTGTTAACTTTATAACCTACCTCTTAAAGAACTGTGTCATTTAAGCTGATACGGCTATCTGAAAGCTCTCTTTATTGCCTGTAGTTCTTTCTGCAGTTTCAGTTTCACGGATAAAAAGAATATGATCTCTAACTACACTTTTGTTTTTACTGCCCTGTTTTATCAGGCAAACTGCAATTTTACACCTTGTTAAGGAAGCAAGGTGAGAAGAAAGCCACATAATACTGTTGACAAGGAAGATAAGGCTGTTATTTACCTTGACATTTTTAAGCAATAATATTCCCCATGTAACAGGATAAGATATAAAGGATATCTTATGGTGATAATGCACAAATTGAAAGGAACTTTCTTCCATGTGCTATCAACACTAGTAAAGATGCCCTCGTGCAATAATCCTGTACCTGAGCCAGTTCACAGTGGACTATTTCGGAAGAAAAACGTACCTCTAATTCAGTCAACTAAAGTAAACACATTTTAGCTGTGCACTGCACCGGATCATAGACAATTTCTTTATGTGTCTGAATGAAATAGGGTTTGGTTTTCCATGTTTTGGGTTTTTATTTTTATTTTTTTTATTTTATTATTTATTTCCCTTGGATCTTTACTCTGACCTGCAGGAAAAGGCTATCTGAACAGGGAACAGTACATTGCATACTAATGGCAGCGGGTCAATAGAACCGTGTATCTGCAACGGCTGCAAGACACTTCAGAAGTTTAATGTACTGCAAAATATGCTGTTTCAAGCCGGGATATTCTTCACGATGAGCAACAACAGCGAGAAGGAGGAATTAGCCACTGTCTCTGCTTCCTTGGAGCAAAATGGCATAAAGAAAGCTGGAGTTGGAATTTCAGCCCACGGGAGGAAATTGAACGTACCTTTAATAGACGGAGATGTTCAGGTTCTGTGGTGATGACTTCAAGAGAAATGCCTGTTTGAAATACACAATAAAAATGCATAAAATCATCACAGATTAAACGCATTAAATCCCTCTAGAAGCAGCAGTTAAACTCAAGCTTATATAGTTCATCATAGTTTGTATTATGTAGTCATCTAGTTTATCAGAATGTTCTTTAAATTTTGTCCAAACAAATTAAAAAAAGTTTAGTCAGTGCAGCTCCCACAGATTCACTGGGAGATTATTCCTTGTTGTTTGCCAGGCTGCTCTGCTCTTCCTCCCCTTCTGCCCACCTCCGATTCATCCTAAAATGTTCTTATTACTCTTTTTGAAGCAGCTTTAATTGAAAATTCCTCTTAGTCCTTCCCCCAACCTTTCTTTATCAGGCAGCCAGCGGGCGAGGTGTATTAATAGCAGCTGCATGACTCAGAGTTGGTAGCTCAAGTGGATCCCTCTGCACTGAGGTTTGCTGTTTGGCCTCCCTGGCTACGTTGCCACCAAGCTCAGGGAGCACCTTCACTTTCTGGCAAACAAAAATAAACTGCAAAAGCACAGAGGGGACTGGGACTGCCTCAACCTCTCCATCCTTCAGAAGGATTCTTCTTACTGCTCTTCTCCATTGCCACTGGGATTGTGTATGAAAAAAATGAAAATATGCATAAGAAGAAAAAAAAAAAAAAAAGGTGTGATTCTATCCCTCCGTGTGACTCTTTCCTGCACCTGAGTGACAAAAAAGGAGCGAGGGTCCCATCGCTACACGAGATGGGAGGGGGCAACAGGGCCAGCGCTCTCCACTCAGCCTGCATTCCGCAC